CCAAGGCAGTTACCATTTGCACTACTCAGGTGACCCTGACAACCCAGACAAATCTCCAAATGGCTTCAAGGACTCTCCAAAAAAATGCAAATGGCCAGTTGCCTGCAAGGAGGATAAATCCTTCCATTCCCCACCATCCAGTCAGAGCTGAAGAAGCCTCTTGGATGAGAAGAATCTTGGATCTTCAAAGAAAAATAAGGCAGTCCAGTTGCCTCTTGGAAAAGCACTTTTGGGACAACTATGAGCTGGATGACTCAGAATCTCTATAGACACCTTGCATGAAGGTGGAAAATCCCTTTTGGATCCATTCCTTAAATGTGTAAATCAGCTGTTACAATTCAAGACGTTCAACTCTACCCCTTTGAAGCATTTCCCCTCCTTTCAAGTTTCCTGGGCATGTCATTTTTGCCATTTGTCCCGACAGAAGGGATTTCTAGACATACCCATACACTCAGGCCATGTGTTAAAGTGCCCCCTACTCATGGCTTCAAGAAATGTATTTATTGTTTTTATAATAATTGCATTATTTTCATTTTATAATATTATATAATTATTATTTCATAATAATTACGTAAATTGTATACATTATTTATGAAACAAATGTACATAGCTTCCCAACTCATACATAGGTGACTTCAAGCCATTTACAAAGTTTTAAAAATCCACTGTATAATTAAAAAAAAAACATTAAAATAAACTCTCCTAAACACAATCAAATCAGCCACTAGATCGGCTCCCTCTCCTTTTGTGTTCCCTAGACCCACTGACAAAACCATATTTTTAGGGCCTTTTGGAAAAGCAGTAGAATTGGGTCCAACTCAGGGTAAGGATGTTCCATAAATAAGGGATCACTACTGAGAAGGCTCCTTTTTGTTGTCCTACCAGCTAACAATCCCCAACTGATGAGAGTGAGACCCATAACATACCCTGCCTTCCCATTCTGGTCGGCTGGGTGGGTGTAATGGAGAGAGGCAGGGTGTAGGAGAGGATCTTGAGGCATTTCATCTCATTTGCACAGGCCACAAAACAGTTCTAAAAATGTCTACTTCTCTCTTAAATAATAGCTTCTACCACAACTGGTATATATATTTCTGCAGAAATATTAAAATGTGACAAAATGTCTTCTATTATAAAGCTCACACTGTCCATAAATCTATTGAAATAAGTACAGGCATTCCAATTTGTCCCCAGACTATTGAAAAATGCAAATAGCAAATGGAGCTTAAAGAGCAGCGTGTGATATTCGGTTTCATTTTTAATAATTTTCCCTATGTTTAAAAAAAAAACATGCACACAAGAGAAAAAAAAACCCACCCAACACAGCCTTAAAAGCAGCAGCTCTGTATTGCTCTAGTTTGGGCTCTTAGATAAAATGGAATAAGTGATTGGATCTACAAGTGGTCGGAACTGCTTAGGATAAATACCAAGGCTGAATCCAGCTAGTTTGGGTAAGGCTCCAGACAAAAGGGATGCTCTATCTTGATAGGATCCCCTCTTCAAATCATCCATCTCTCTATCCATCTATCCATCCATCTATCTTATCTACACACACACACTCACACACACACAGAGCATGTGCTGCGGGAGGGGCTTGGAAGCAGAAAACCAAAGTGTATTACACTGCAAATACTCTCTTGTAGATGTCAGAAAAGAGACAATTTTCTGTCCCATGACCGTATCCAGTAATGGAACCTGGATGGGGGAAGGTGGGACCACATGAGAAAAACAAGGTTGGAAGTGGGCCACTTGCAGAATAAAAGCTGAGGCACACTGCTATAGATACCTTAACATGAAGCCCAAAGAGTGTTCTTTTATAAGTAGTATTCACTAGGAATGTAAATAGAAGAAATTGGTTTCTAATCTGTCCCAAAAGTGCTTTTTTTCCCAAAGAGGCAACTGGACTTCCTTATTTTTCTTTGAAGGTGTTTTGCTTCTCATCCAAGAAGCTTCTTCAGTTCTGACCGGACAGGGAATGGAAGGATTTATATTCCTTGAAGACAGCTGGTCATTTGCATTCTTTTATAATAAGAAAGTCCAGTTGCTTCTTGAAAAAAAAAAAAAGCACCTTTGGGACAACCATGACCTGGATGATTGAGAATCTCCATAGACATTTCTAATCTGTCATTACTGTGGTCAGTGTTGCATCTCCAGAATTCCCACAACGTAATAACTGCCAAGGGATTTGTGCATTGATAAACATGATAGACATTTATACATGTCATCGTTGAGTTACAACCATTCAATTAATGACCGCTCAAAATTACAACGGCACTGAAGAAAGTGACACAACCATTTTTCACCCTTACAGCCGTGGCAGCATCCCCACGGTCACATGATCAAAATTCAGATGCTTGGCAACTGGCTCATATTTCTGACGGTAGCAGTGTACCGGGGTCATAGGATCCACCGTTGGCAACCTTCTGTCAAGCAAAGTTAATGAGGAAGCCAGATTCACTTAACGACCATGTTACCAACTTAAGAATTGCAGCGATTCACTTAAATCTGTGCCAAGAAAAAGTCATAAAATGGGACAAAGCTCCTGTAACAAGTATCTTGCTTAGCAACAGAAATTTGGGGTTCTGTTGCTGTCATAAGTCAAATTATAGGACTGCCTGTAATTTGATGCCTCAGATAAATGGAACTGTCATTCTTATGCAGATGTTTTGAAAACCTGAAACAATCGTGCTACCTCTTTAACAGAACCTATAATTTTCTCAGTTCTATTGCTAGAAACACATCAAGGAGGCATCCAAGCAACTGGGTTAGTTTCAGTCAAGTTTTGACACGACCTATTTAGCACATCACCCAGATATAATTACTTGGGGATTTTTCACAGTTGTGAATTATTGAACTTTCTCCATTCACTCCTTGAAATAAAAGTCAAATAACTGCTGATATATATATATATATATATATATTTAAGTAAAATGCATTGGAAAATCTATTTCTCAAGAGCCTGAGCTATGAGGTGGCTTGGCTGCTGCCTTCTCTTTGAATCATCCCTACCCTTCTGAATGATTAAAGAATCCTGGCTTCACGTTTCTTGAATTAAAAGGGGAGAAAGTTCAGAACCAACCATGCAAAGACAAATACAAGATCTGAAGCTCTAAAACCATGATATATCTCAGTAGAATACTGACTGGCCATATTCAGCTTTGTTCTGGGTTCATACAGAAATGAAATGATGATAACAGCACGAATGTCCTTGAACAGAAAACAGATCAAAATTCCCATTTATCCCTAATGAATCACTGATCCATATCTAGCTTGAAAATAATTACATGCATGAGCGCACACCCAGACATGCACACAGCTTATGTATCTGATCTTTAATTGGACAATATGCTTCTCTCTCACTCTTAAGTATTGTGCAAGCATGCCTTGCCTATATTAGTCCCTAATGGATTAATAATAAAATTAATGTACTGTTTTTTCTCCAGGAGTTTCGTTTGGCTTTTATGGGACATTCTATCACTGTTAACATCCCTCACAGAAACCCTGTGAAATAACTTAGACTGAGAAAGGGGCTGGCCTGAAATCACCCACGGACCTTCTATGGCTAATGGACTAAAAGCTGGGCCTCCCTGTTCCTAACTCAACAATTTCATCTCTACACTTCAAGAAAGAAAGAAAGAAATATCAAGGCACCTGGGTTGATCTCATCATAGCTACACCAGAAGCAGCCAGATCAGGGGTGTCAAACTCATATCATCACAGTGGTGTCACGTGATGTATTGGGATTTCCCCCTGTTCACTAAACTGGGTGGGGGCATGACCAGCATGTGACACATCCAGCCCCCGGGCCGGGTGTTTGACAGCCCTGAGCCAGATGGTTAGATTCCTTAGACATCTAATTATAACATCAATCCCATTGAACTCTATGGCACAATATCATGGTGGTTTTATTATGGTCCTATCTTAGTTTAATATTTTACCTCATGTATTGTATTGTCCACATATCTTACATATGTGTATATATATTTACCAATGCTTTATTTAAGCTTATGTTTGTGTATCAGTGATTGCAAGACCTCGATAGATGCTATATGCTAAATAAAAAAATAAATATTTCTATGTTATGTTAGCTCTCCAAAAGAAATCACTAGTTTTGAAAGATTTCACATGTTGCTGTATTATTTCTATCACATTTTTTAAAATAAAACTGAGATCCCACCTTTAATTTAAAAAAATCAATAATGCACTTAGAATTGGTCTATGCTGTATTTTTAGTTAAAAATAAAAATAACATCTGGGTATTTTAAAAAGAATATTTTTAAAACTGTGGTTTGGGGGCAGCCAAAGTTTAACAGTTTGGTTTAACTTTGACCAATTAAATATATGAACAACAAGCACTTCCCCAATCTTCAGTTATCTTGTGAGCACAAACATCACTTATCTCAGCAGTTATTTTGCAAAGAAAGAAAGAAAGAAATGAAGAAAATTAGTGTAATTTAGTGTATCCCAAATAAACTTCATTGGATGTCTTTGGGGCCACTGGCTAGCTTTTAATTCAACATCTTCCATAAATTTGTTCTGGGAATTTTTTTTGAAGAAAATACTGCTATGGATGCTGCCTCTGAACTCTTAGAGAAAAAGTATGATATAAACACTACCACATCAACGCATCATTTTAAAATAAAAGCTAAATATTCCTACAACACTTTGCAAAGCTTAGACTTTCAGATTTAATGCAATCAGCAGTCCTCAGAATCAGTTCCAAAAAGCAGGTAAGCATTATGTTTTCCTATGCCTATAATAGCCCTGGCTTGGGATGAACCGTTCTGCAAAAGAACATACTTGGGAATGAGATAATGGCCTGAATAACTCCAAAATTGCAAAAGCTAATGTGGCATCCAGCTCATCAAATGCAAACAATTCCCTTGGGATTCTTCTGAATGCTCTTTATGGGTATAATTAACATATGAATAACCACTTGCAGCAATGTGAAATCTGACTTAACGGTTGACATTTCTTTGTGTTGTTGAAAAACAGGTACTTACGTATTCATCGTAAGATTCATGTGCTGGTAGAGGGGGGGGCCTGTAACCCGGTACTGCTGGAACTCCTCTGGCTCGAGGGGTGGGGACCCCTCTGGTGGTGGGTGGGACTGGAAGTACTCCACGGGACACTGGTGTTCCTCTTGCTACTGGAGCTCCTCGTCCGGGTGGTGGTGGAGGGATGGCGCTCCCACGCCCCCTAAGAGTGAACAGAGCAAGCTGATTATTGTGATAAGGAGCACTAAAAAAATGAAAGATTTATAAAGGTACATAAAAGGATTTCTGCACTGACTGCATTGACATTAAACTGTTATTGGAGGAAAGATACAGTAATTTAGAGAATGCGTATTACCGTTCAGGGTCCTTGGTATTCTCTGAGCCTGGTTCTTTTCTTGCAGACGTTTCACTACACAAACTACCCTGTTTCCCCGAATATAAAACCTACCCCGAAAGTAAGTCCTAGATTGATCTTTACACGTGTGTCCAATGTAAGTCCTATCCCCCAAATAAGCCCTAATCAAGACCCCACCCACTCCACTCCCACTTGCATGAGTACAAATTAAGCTAGGGTGGGGATGGGGTGGTGGAGCTGCTCTACTACTTACCATTGGACAGTTGTAGCCAGGCTTCTCACACCCCGACACCTGCCTTGCCATCCCATTTCTTCTGCAGCCAGCAAGACTGGCAAGGCTTTCCTGAAGGCCTCTGTAGCTGATAACAAAGCTCCAGATCAATCTGGAACTCTGTTATTGGCTGCAGAGCCTTCAGGAAAGCCTTACCAGCCACAGAAGAAGTTCCTGAAGGCCTCTGACAGTGAAAAGGACAGGGTTATGACTGAAATCTGTTGGGGTAGAACTCAAGACAGGAATATAATCCTGAGAGGTTATAAAGAGGTCCAAAAGAATCAGACTCACTGAAAAGTGTGTGTGCGTGTGTGTGTGTGTAAGAATGATAACTCCTGTATGGAATTTATAATACAGATATCCTCAACTTCATTCATTTACTGACTATTCAAAGTTACAACAGCCCTGAAAAAAGTGACCTATGATCATTTTTCATATGTACAACCATTGCAGCATCCCATGGTCATGTGATTAAAATTTGGATTCTTAGCAATTAGCTCATATTTATGACGGTTGCAGAGTCCTATGGTCAAGTGATCACCTTTTGCGATCTTTTGCCAAGCAAAGTCAATGGGAAAGCCAGACTCACTTAACAACCATTTTACTAGCATAACAACTGGAGTGATCCACTTAACAAATGAAGCAAGAAAAGTCACAAAAATAGGGCAAACGGTCTCACTGTCTTGTTTAACAAATAGGGCAAACTCACTTAACTATCTTGCAGTTAAAAAATTTGGGACTCAATTGCCATCATGAGTCAAGGACTAACTGTACTAGGATGAAAGCCCTGCAGAAAGCATCTCAATGAGTATTAAAGGAAAAGACATAGAAATGACACTGTTGTGTACTACAGGTCCCCCTACCGAACAGAAGAAACACAAAAAATCTTTGTAAACCAGATGGCTAAAGTGTTCAGGAAATACACCACCAAGACAATGAGGAATTTCAGCTACCCTGATATCATTTGGGAATTAAACTCTATGCAGGTAGACATACTGTGCAGGAACTTCATTATCCAAAAGGTGGAGCAGAAAATGAGGGGATCAGCTATACTGAACTTAACAGAGAAGAAATGGTCAAGAAAGTGTAAATTATAGGAAATGTGTAACCAAGTGATCCTAGAATACACCATACTGAGGCAGGAAAAACTGAAGGTGATCAGATAAGTATTCCAGAGTTCAAAAGAGCTTGAAGGAGTCCAAGGATAGAAATCCTGAAGAAAAATTAGTTCAGGAAAGTTAAGATATTCTGGAAAGTGACAAAAGTGGGGAAAAGATGTGACTGCCTTAAGTAGTGGATTCCTTCAAGTTAACATGTCTGTTGAAGTCATCATTCCTTTCTTTTGGTTTAGGCAGAAGCCTGGAAAAAGAATATCTGCTTTAATAAAGAGCAGAAAGGTACTGTGCTCATAGTTACCAGAAATCCAAAGCAGTCTTCCAAATCACTCCAGCATTTGCAAATAATAATAATAATAATAATAATAATCATCATCATCATCATCATCATCATCATCATCATCATCATCATCTAAAGCATCCTAAGGGATTTGTGACTCTTTCATCTCACACAAATGTGCTTGAACTTGGCACTGAACTTCTGAGGCTGCTCTGGTTCCACTACCTCCAAAGATAAGCTTATCAAAGATGTTCTAGCAAGCTTTCTGCACCGAAGCTCATGCATTGTGGACAACTCCTAAAAGATATTTGGTTGGCCTATAGCTAAAATATTAGAAAGGTAGCTGATGAGCTTCATCCTACTATATCATTGGTCTGCTCTACCTCCCGCTATGGCTATTGTTAGGAATGTAAGTCACCTAACAGTTATTTTGGGTTGGAAATATATAAACAAGGATAGACATTTTAATACTGTATCTTTAAGAGAATGCTAAAACTGTAATTGGTTGTAGTTTTGCAAATGGCCATAAGATGGAGCCAGAAACCTGGGTTGTTTGGTCTCAGTGAGTCTCTGTTCCTTCTGTTGGAAAGAGTTGTGGTTTCTCCTATTGACTGTTACTGATTGTTGATGTAAGTCTGTTACTGAACTGTTTTTTGATACTGGACTTTGATATTTGGATTATCCCTGAACTGAAACCTGACTGCTTTACCTGTGAATGACTTGAACTGCTTGCTTGGACTTTGCTTAAACGTTCATTGGAAGTAAAAACCTACATTTTACGATGCAGTGTATCTGTGTGCTAGTGGTGTGTTATTCTTTACCACTCTCACTACGTCTCCCTGTATGCGCTCATTCTCCTAATGGGGAATTACCTCAACAGCTATGTACAGGTAAAACTCAAAAAATTAGAATATCGTGCAAAAGTTCATTTATTTCAGTAATGCAACTTAAAAGGTGAAACTAATATATGAGATAGATTCATTACATGCAAAGCAAGATAGTTCAAGCCATGATTTGTCATAATTGAGATGATTATGGCTTACAGCCCATGTAAAACCCAAATCCACAATCTCAGAAAATTAGAATATTGTGAAAAGGTTCAATATTCTAGGCTCAAAGTGTCCCACTCTAATCAGCTAATTAAGCCATAACACCTGCAAAGGCTTCCTGAGCCTTTAAATGGTCTCTCAGTCTGGTTCAGTAGGAATCACAATCATGGGAAAGACCGCTGACCTGACAGTTGTGCAGAAAACCATCATTGACACCCTCCATAAGGAGGGAAAGCCTCAAAAGGTAATCGCAAAAGAAGTTGGATGTTCCCAAAGTGCTGTATCAAAGCACATTAATAGAAAGTTATGTGGAAGGGAAAGGTGTGGAAGAAAAAGGTGCACAAGCAGCAGGGATGATCGCAGCCTGGAGAGGATTGTCAGGAAAAGGCCATTCAAAAGTGTTGGGGACTTTCACAAGGAGTGGACTGAGGCTGGAATCAGTGCATCAAGAGCCACCACACACAGACGGATCCTGGACATGGGCTTTAAATGTCGTATTCCTCTTGTCAAGCCGCTCCTGAACAACAAACAACGTCAGAAGCGTCTTACGTGGGCTAAAGAAAAACAGACCTGGTCTGTTGCTCAGTGGTCCAAAGTCCTCTTTTCTGATGAGAGCACTTTTTGCATCTCATTTGGAAACCAAGGACCCAGAGTCTGGAGGAAGAATGGAGAGGCACACACTGTACGATGCTTGAAGTCCAGTGTGACGTTTCCACCGTCTTGTGTTGATTTGGGGAGCCATGTCATCTGCTGGTGTTGGTCCACTGTGCTTCATTAAGTCCAGGGTCAACACAGGAGATTTTGGAGCACTTCATGCTTCCTTCCACAGATGAGTTTTATGGGGATGCTGACTTCATTTTCCAGCAGGACATGGCACCTGCCCACACTGCCAAAAGCACCAAAACCTGGTTTAATGACCGTGGGATTACTGTGCTTGATTGGCCAGCAAACTCGCCTGACCTGAACCCCATAGAGAATCTATGGGGCATTGCCGAGAGAAAGATGAGAGACATGAGACCAAACAATGCTGAAGAGCTGAAGGCCGCTATTGAAGCATCCTGGTCTTCTATAACACCTCAGCAGTGCCACAGGCTGATAGCTGCCGCATTGAGGCAGTAATTGCTGCAAAAGTAGCCCAAACAAAGTACTGAGTACATATGTATGCTTATACTTTTCAGGGGTCTGATATTGTTCTGTATACAATCCTTGTTTTCTTGATTGCATGTAATGTTCTAATTTTCTGAGATTGTGGATTTGGGGTTTTCATGAGCTGTAAGCCCTAATCATCACAATTATGCCAAATCACAGCTTGAACTGTCTTGCTTTGCATGTAATGAGTTTATCTCATATATTAATTTCACATTTTAAGTTGCATTACAGAAATAAATGAACTTTTGCACAATATTCTAATTTTTTGAGTTTCACCTGTATATTTTAAATGACCTGGGTGCTATTACCCTCTGTTTGGTGGTTTGAATTATTTAACCAATACTGTATATTTCATTTTTTTTATCCTATATGGTTTATTGTATGTTTATATTTTAGTTGGAAGTTACCGTGTACGTCTTGGGATCAAAAGGTGGAGTGAAATTCTCCCATACATAATTAAATAATTTTTTAGGAGAAGAATGTACTGCAGAAATATCAAGGCAGAATTAATAGCTCATGACAAGGATGTAGCAGAAAAAAAAGTCCAAGATTATATAGAATGCCTAAAATCACGAAAAGCTGTTATATTAATTTGTTTTGCACACTTAAATGGCAGAAGCTGAGGTCGCTCTCATTAATTAGTCATGAACCTGGGCCAGGCACTTTCACTCAGCTGGAATACCTCATATCACATTAAGTAAAATATTGGGAGGACAGAGAACAACCAGGTAAGCAGCTCTGACCTTCTAGGGGAAAACCTAGGACATAATGTAATAACTTATAAGTAAGTTCCTTTTGTAAGCAGAAATGTTTTCAACAGTTTTGTCAATGTGTTAACAATTGAAACACCACCAATACAATGTAGGAAAGTGGTCATTTCTAGATATCTGATGTCCTTTAGATTGTTCACTTACAGGTTTCCATCAATGGAATTGATAAGGGATAACCCAATATTACTTTGATTCTGTCAAGTATTAGCCATACAATTGTTCAATGTCATCTCAATTTTGTGATTTTATAGAAAAAGAAAAAAGAAAGGTGTAACAAATATTGCTACAGGTGGTATACCTTTCTTGGAGATTTATCCACTTGGGTTTTGAGAATGGCATTAGTCACGAACCCAGGCCATGAGAGGTGGGATAGCTATTGTTATCTAGAAAGTCCCATTAGCTTTCAGAAATATTGCACCACAAATGTCCAATGATGAGATCCTGTGGTTGAAGTCAGGTTGTATGGAGAAGTGGTTTGACTGCTGCTGTACCATTGCTGTACCAATATCTCTGCCTGACTCCATTGCAACTTACCGATGGAGCTTCTAACCACTTCTAAGAGACTTTAATTTTCTCTTTTATAGTATAAAGTCTGGAGTGGCTCATGAGTACATAACTATCAGAGCTACCATGGACTTAGGCTATCTAAGTTATTGAGAGCCAAACACATATAAATAGTCATATTTTGGATCTGATTTGTATATCAGGGCAGTTGCAATGTAATCTGAAGGTAGAGGATATTGTGATTATATTTATCTGGAATGCCAGTTGAAGTGTTTCCTGTACTTAAGAGTTCCTTCCCAGAAACATGCCTTGGTCACCTTAAATGAGGATTATTGCAATGCATTTGCACACCAATCACTTTGAAACTACAGTTGATCCAAAACGTGTCAGCATTCTTTTTGGAATAGTTGGCATACATCAATCCCAATGTCCCTTAAATAGATCTTGAAGATCTGTTTTTTTTCCCCAGGTTCTGACTTATGTGTGTCCACTTAAATTGCATTATTTCTAATATGTTGTGATCCATGTTTTGGCTATGGCCATCTTATTTTCAAACTGATATAGTCTATATTATAGGCTTTTGTTTTTAAATTGTATATGACAAAGAATCTTGAGATTAATGGCCTTATAAATTTAAATTATATGTTACACAATAAGACATAAGTTGTATGGAGCCAAGACTTATTTGAAATAAACACTTTTTTTTCATTTCAAGACATTCAAGAGAAATCATTTTGTTTTACTCTGTATATTTTATGAATATTCATTCTATATTAATAATGTTGTGTATTAGGATTCTATGGGGTTCGAAAATAATTCATAAGAAATCTTTTGGACCTCAGGCAAGAATATCCCATCTTTACTACCTATGAACTTCCCCATTTTTAAAGTTTTTTGCATGAGCATGAAAAAGAGGCAATGGCTCTGAACAGTTATAAGAACTGCATTGATTGTTTCCTTAAAATAGTATCTTTTTTTATAAAGGATGTCAAGGCAGCCTGGAAAAAGTCAGACTGCTCTAATGAAGAGCAGAAAGCATTAATGTGAAGTCTGAACTTTTTCTTCTGAATTAGCATGCTCAGCCTTTCCCTATATTATTCTAAATTATTCAAATCAGAAAGATGTCACAATAATCAGGATTTGACACATAAAGCTAAAGTAGGCACCATTTTTAATCACATGTAAAGCCAAATCTGATTCCTGGAAATAATTTATTCTTGCAGGAATTCAGTTGAAACCACAGTAGGTTTTAAGATGAGATTCCAAGGATCTGAATTGTTAACAAGGACTTGCAAAGAATATGATTTCAGAGGGAGAAGAAGGGAATATGGTTTACTTTAGAACTTTTAGAGAAGCGAAAAAGAAATGAAATGCAGCTACTCTGCAAGTAGCAAGGTGAAATAAACCACCTTAGAAAACAAATTCCTGATTTTATTAGAAATATTAAATTACATGTAATTGGAGTCAATTACAAGGGCAGAATTTAGCTTTATGAAGACATAATAATGTTCCTGTACAATGAAATTATGATCGCACTCTGACCCTGGCTGTGAATGTTCTTGATATCCATGCTTTTGGAAGATGTTATTGAAATAAGTGTTTCCTTGTGTAGGTGAACATTGCATACCCCAGAGAGAGAATGAATATTAGTTATCCTAAGGGACCAAGAATGATACTAGTGGTGGTATTCAACTGGTTTGGCCCGGTTCTGCAGAGCTGGTAGCAGTGATGAGCAGCAGAGACTGAACTGGTTCTCTCCTCCACTCTGCTGTTGGCCCCACCCACCTGCCCAGGTTCCCATACTCACTTTTATCCTCTAAATTTGAACTGCAGCTGCTTTGTGCGGTATAGAAGAGTGTCATGCGGCAGCTGCTGAAGCGACTGGGATTGTGCAGGCTTGCAGAAGGTGAGTTAGAAAGCCTCTGCACCTGCGCAAAGTGCACATTTGGCACGCAAATGCACGCAAAGTGTGTGCACACATGCAAAGCATGCCCACCAAGCCACGCCCACTGAACTGGTGGTAAAACTATTTGAATTCCACCACTGAATGATACATATAGCATTAATCCTGTATAAAAGAAGGTGGATGTGCAAATAAGATATCTACATATGCTGATGAAAAAGGGAAAATATTACATTGAAAATAAAACTAAGATTATTTTTAATCAGCATCTTGAAATGTTAATGAAAAAAGATAAATAAATCCATATGGGATATTGGATAAAACCAAAGTCTTAATTTAGACTTCAGTTCTGTGAACCCTATGAGGTTTATATTTGGATGCTTTTGCATCTACAGAGTTAAAATCCATCTACAGTCAATTACATTACTTTGTGGCATATAAGGATTCTGCCAAACTTAAATTAAGAATAATTTAATCTTGTAGTACATTTTAAAATAAGTTAATTGTACCGGGCCTAGGCATATTTTGTTATTCTTTTGAATAAGTCATCATGCATAAGTTATCACAAAACCTGTCTTACACAGAAGCAGAAGGTGTTAGGAATGATAGTCACCTAACGGTTGGTTTGGCAATATATAAACCAGGATAGTTATTTAATACTGTTGTATCTTTAAAAGAATGCTGTAATTGTGATTGGCTGAAGTTCCTCCGATGATCATAAGATGGAGCCAGAAACTTGGTTTGTTCTCTTCTTGCATTTCCCTATTGCGTTTTGCCTGATTGTCATTCTTCAGGAATTGCTGTGAGTCTTGCAAACTGTTAGCAAACTCCGTTTACTGAACTTTGTTTATGATACTGGACTTTGTTTTTGGATTATCCCTGGACTGATTGTATTGAATACTACCTGCTTTAACTGTGTATGATTTGGACTGTTTGTTGGACTTTGTTTACCCGTTTACAGGAAGTAAAATCTACATTTTACTATTCAGTGTATCTGTATGCTGGTTGTGTGTTATTCCTCACCACTCTCACTATGTTTTCCTGAGTGAACTCATTCTCCTAACGGAGAATATCTCAACAGAAGGTATGCTCAAAATATGAACATTTAACACAATTGTTCTTCAGATATAAGGCCCTGCTATAAAGATGGACATCTTCCAGAAATGTAAGTAGGTACTTCAATCACCTCTAGCCAGCAAGACTAAGGCCATTGAAGGAAGATGAGAATTGTAATTCTAAAACAACTGAAGGAAACTAAATTGGTAAAGATGAGGGTAGAGACCATATGGCTCCTATAGATGTGGCTATGTTTATTTAAATATGAAAATACTGGGATTTATGCTGGGATGAATGTTTATTGGTTTGGAACAAAACCATAAACTTTCTTTAGTCTCATTGTTTTACAAGACATATTATTTTCAGTTCCTCTCTGTAACTGTAATTGCGGAAGGAGTGGAAGGTTTTGTTAGAACCAAATGCATAAATGAATTTCCCTCTTTTATTCTTCTCAGCTGTATCTGTGAACTGTGACATGTATCTGTTTATTAACCAAGTCATTTGTAACCAAGGTTATAGCTATTATAAAGTATTTATACCGAGTATAAAGAAAGACTAAGAACTGACCTTGAAGGAGCTGCAGGAGGAACTCGAATTCCTCTTCCTCGAATACTTCGCCCACGAGGTGAGTCCTCTGAACCATTTAAATACGACAATTCTCTCAATTGCTCTTGGCGGATTTCATCATTATAGTCCTAGGAAAAAGGAAGCAATGGAACATCTGTCAGCTTTACCACTGAAGTTCCATTCCTCCTCCCAGATTAGCTAATTTTAAGGTTAAGATGATTTTCAGAAAACTTAAATGACTTCATTGCTTGGTACAGTACTTTAAAAAAGCAAATAATGTTTAACCCATATCATGCTGGTAAGCAAAATGTATTCCACAAAGATGGTTTATTGCCACCAAACTAGGCAATGTATGTAGTTAAAAAAATATAATCCTTTTCTTGTTGGTCAGGACAGAATCATAGAGCTTGACAGAATCAGCCCTGTTGGTTAGATTTTAGAGTTTTTCGAGAGTCAAGATTCTATTTAAAGTAAGTAGTGCATACAGAGAATAGCTTGTTTCCATCTCCTTCATAGCAACTTCCCTTTGCGTCATGTGACCATGAAGAGGAGAGGCTTAAGAATGGAAGAATTGGCAGTATTTTGATCCACTATCCAATTGCCTCACTGGGATGTACTGAGGATTTAAACAAATATATATTCCATAATCTTTGACCAGCTGCAGCCCACTTGTGAATTTATTTTTTTCTTGGATGGTTTGTTTCACTACACCAAACTGAGTGCCTTCTGTTCTGTTTGCAGAGAGCTATCCTGCTAATGAACAGACAGAATTCCAGATCCCCTTTAAAAAATATTTTTAAAGTTCCATTTGGTTAAAAAGAATGAAAAGAATCATTCATGCTGTATAATAGGACAATAAGCAAATGCCTATCTCTGATTCATTGTTTAGCTGAATGGAATGAAAAAAGCAGAAACACATCATCACTTTGCAATGCAAACTTCAACCTTTATGTGTTTCCATGTGATGTCAATGCAAGTATGAAAGGTAGAACTTGCATGGTGACATCGTGATGCATTTCTGTGCCATTGTGTCTAGCTGTACTTAGGGTGCCAAGGGGGTTGGCACATGTAACTGCTATCTAGCTTGGATCCCTTACAGGAAACCCCAAACCCCTCATCAGTATCTTAATTTAGTTGCCCTGGTTGGGCAAAGTACATTTGCAAAGGGAAAGAAGTCTTCTGGAAAGAAGTCAGAATTCCATTGACCAGCTTTTTGATGGAGATACAGCTTTGCTCCCTGTGACCACTGGACTTTTCCAGAGCGGTGGGCAAACTTGATCTCTCCTGGACAGGACTCCCTCTTAAGTGGCAGGATGGAGTTCTAGCTGGGTTGTGACTTGCTGCAATACTTGATGTTAGAAAGCATCGGTGCAGTGCGATTCCATAGAGATAATCAGACTAAAGAGAATGAATCTGGCATGGTGCAAGTGGAACTTGTTGCCTTGCCAACACGCCCACCCCATCTATTTGTTATTGTAAAACTGATTTACAATTATTTGCATGCCACTTACTTGACTGACTGTGGGCAGCATACAAAATCCATTAAAAGTCTAGCGCTCATAAAATCCAGTGTTCAACATCCATACTTTTAAAGGAAAGCAAGCAAGTTGACCAGTGTTTGCACTATTTGCACCTGTGCCGCCTGCGGTCCTATCTAAGCATATCACACAAAATTGTCTATTACAACGTCTTACCTGTCAATGACTTCTTCAGTCTCAATCACAATAATACACAGGCAGACAACTGATACAAACTCAAAGTAAACCACTCCAACTGGATTGCAGAAAATACGATTTCAGCAACAGAGTGGTCAACATCCGGAACACCCTACCCAACTCCATTGTTACAGCCTCAACCCCTTACAGCTTCAACCTCAAACTGTCTACCGTGGTCCTCACCCCATTCCTAAGAGGTCCTTAAAGGGGGCATGCATAAGTGCAACAGTGTGCCTGCCGTCCCTGTCTTACTGTCCCCATTTATCTGTATTTACTCCCTTTGTTCTTGTTTATGTTCATATACTTGCTATCTTGTACATGTTTGACAAACAAACAAACTAATAAATAAATATTCATCTGTGCCTTATTTAGAGACTTAAACCTGCCTGAATCATGCAGAGAGCTGTTTTGCTTTAATCTGCACCATATAAATCTCACAACTTTGATTCATCTCCTATTACAATGAATTTCTCACAGCACAGATTCCATGCATCTTCGAGATTTTAAAATGACATTATTAATTGTAAAACATTAGAAATCTAAGTGACATACAATGCAGCCTATCAAATAAATCTCCGTGCCTACTTCTTCACAATCGTGAAGCAGAATCTTGGACTATTTCTTCTGATAAAATAATTCATTTTGGTGTCCTTCAAGAAAGGAGTTCTGCAATGTGCAAGCATTCCTCTCTTGATTCTAAAGGCTTATTGGAAAGATTAATGCATTTCTTGGCTTCATCTAGGAGCTGAAACAATATGCTTATTTATATCAGCCTTCTGTGCTGAAAATAATAAAAACATTTTAAATGACATGTCTTATTTCTGTCCAAATGACACAAATAATTATGTACAAAGCAAAAGGTAGTTTCCAGAACAGCACTTTTTGATTGCAGCTTTGAAAATCATAATAATCATTCATTTGCTGCTGCTGAGGTTTACTTGGAGAAATTGGCATATTCTGTAGTCAACCTAGTTAAATAAATAGAGGAAAAATATGTATCATTCTGATTGCCATTCAAAGTAATTATAAAAAAGACAGGTGTACTAAATGATGAGCTTCAAGATAATTCTACTAAAAAGACACCCCAATCAGTTTCTTTTAGTTAATATTATTTGCATTTTCAGATGGAATTCTTCTTTTGTTGTTATTGTTTTTCAGAATTAGAAGGAATCTCATTCTTTGGATTTATTTTCTCTGATGATGCCCCAGTAATGATGGCAATGATGTTCCTAATTCAGTATATTTTAGGTTTAACTTTTATAATTATATCTTGTGTTTGTTGTTGGTTTATTATTATTGTTTATATTGTATTTTGCTCAGAGTCATACCATCTGAGTTGCATTGCTTTATATCTTTTAAAATAAACAAATATCAGAATTTTAATTGCATAGTACTGTTAGGTGCATCCTAAGAACCAAGCAGCACAAAAATTCACGTGCTACTTTCCTATTGCCATTACAATGTGAAATTCTCTCAGTTTTTCCACTTTGTGACATAAAGCAGCTGATATAAGAGTAATAGTATTCCATTCCTGGAATTGTGAAGCAATCAATTCGCAGGTTTATCTTATTTCAGAAAGACAATTCATTGACAAATGGATATATTGTCTGTATCTGGCTATAAAACTTGCTCAAAAATATTAGGTATAGGGAACACCCAGGCACATGTATTCAGGTTGCCCTTGACTTATGACCACAACTGGGGCCAGAATTTCTGTTGCTAAATGAGTCATACCCAATTTTACAGCTTCTTTTGCCATGGTTATTAAGCAAATCACTGCAGTTGTTAAGTGAAACATGCAACTTAAGTGAATTCAGCTTTCCACATTGACTTTGCTTGTGGGAGGATGGCTGGGAAGGTCTCAAAAGGCAATCATATGATTCCAGGATTCTTCAACCATTATAAATATCTGCTGGTATGCTAAGCCTCTGAAATTCAATCACCTAACTGTATGGAGGCTATGACAGTTGTAAGTATGAGGTCTGGTTGCAAGTCACTTTTCTCATTGCTGTTATAATTTTGAATGGCCACTAAATGAATGGTTGTAAGTCAAGGACTACATGTAGTACTTTGGAGACCTAGAACCAAATCTGAGTGTCAACCATCGATAATATTCCTCAGTCTCTGAGGTAGAAACCCAAAGCAGAGAGATGAATTTATCTTTTCCTAGAAAAGATCCTGAAAGTAATCCATTCAGTCTATTCAGGGGCGAAATAGGCTTGGCTCATGTTATCTAAGTGCATGAATCAGGGCTGTCTGCATATATTTAGTATAACTCTTTGTGATGCCCCAGCATTAAGTGATCTGACTTTTGCCTTCCCTCATGGATGCTTTCTTAGAAAATTTTAACCTGATTATCCCTTTTTGCTTTCTTGCTGAACATTGGTTACTAGTAAGAAGAGCCTCTGTTCCTATGAACTTTGACTGTTTTTAAATGTTAGCTTTTGCCTCACAAGTCCCCTTGCTATTGTTTGTTAACACTGAATCAGTATCTTATTATCTTTATTTTGTGAGCCAAGGCGATCTATTGATTTGTTGAATATAAGAACCTACCATTTTGCTATTTAGGGACACAAAATAAATCAGAAAAAATATCTGATGAAAAGAGGTCATTATGGAAATGGATTTCGAGACTCATTTCTCCTTTTGGCAAATTAGTCATGAAGTGCAATGTCTCATCCCTTCAAAAAATAAGATTTTGAAAAAGACTGATGGACCAGCTTTTCATGAGAAAACTTGATACAGTATCATTGCTTCCTAAAATCCAGGAGAAGATGGTACTTCTGCCCTTTTTCATGTACCAAAGTAAATCAGACTCACAAGTTTCAGAGAATTTTGAGCCATGGCTGAATTTCTGTTCAATTATCATATAGAACCTGGCAGCCGAGTTCATTTTTATTCCCCAAATCTTCAAAAACACTTGGATGGTAATTGATGATTGTCTTCTCTTTAGGACAAGAAGTCAGGACAACTCTCGCCCCAAGCTGCTATAAGTTGTACAGTAGTTTTTTTTAAAAAAAAACAGGCTTATTCTAATCTTATCAATTAGCATCCTAGTAGAGCCTGCTCAACCCATGCTGAAGAAAAATAGGAAGCTGACAAATATTATTTTCAGTTTAACTCCTGCTCACTTTGTCTAAGCTCCTGAATGGTGCTCCAAACCTCATAGAGGCTCAGGAGCCAGGAAGTAGGGTGAAAAAAGTATGTCTGATACACTTTTGTTCTACATCTTTATGAAAGCCCAAAGATGCTTCTTTAAAGTCCTATGAGAATAGTACATGTGAGATCCCCATAGAATTGAACTTCTAAGAAGAAAAAAAGAAGAGAGAATTACATCAACACAGTGGGATATTTGGCCAGCTGTTTGATTTGGTGTACTATTTGTTACACATAATTATCTTAAAACTTTTCTC